GGAAACATAGGCAGGTATTAATTGTATAGTCTGTTTGTACCTGTTTCGCGTTTGTCTCTCTTTGATAATCTGTGTTCAAAATATGATGGCTCTAGACGGTGCTTTGTGAGCAGCAGAGGCTGATGCCAGACTACTCTACATCAGCATCGCTGTTCCAAGGACTCCTCGAGATATTAAGCAATTGGTAATCGGGATATATGTCTGTCAGTGTCCTCGGTCGTGGAGGCTCAGCATGCAAATGCTCCAGAGTCAATGATTCGAGAGTAAGAGATGATCAAGATCAAGATTCTGAGTCAGTGTGAGGCCATCTCTGGCGTAGAAAAACTGCAGCCCCTCTGAAAGAAGCTGGGGTGCTTCGGCTGCCACCAGTTTCCACAACAGATCACAGACTGAATTCATCAATGATCAGTTTTGCTAAAGAGAAGGGGGCAACATTGCAACACGTCGCTGCTTAAGGCCTGAGCCCGAAGGCTCAAGGACGGACCTTGTTCGCAAGTATCTAATCATAACACCAGTAGGTGTGCAAATCCCAACCTGATCGAGATAGTCCAGCCGAATGCGGATGATCATCGTCGAAATGTAAAGAGCCGTGGTCAACCGAACCCGAGCTGTCCAGATTCTCATCCGCGGTTTATCTCGCCTACCTACTTGCAAAATAATGGTTGTTCGCCGAACGGACGGCAATCTCCGAACTACCTCGTCGAGAACATCAGGTAAAACACCTATCTTCCCCGCTCGAGAATCCGAGTCAACGCGGTAACTGATGGAGAATCTCCACACACTATCGAAAAATGGAAGCAGTGGGGACTGGGGTTCTGTATCCGGGGTCTGGGGTTGATACACGGGTTAGGGAGAAATCATGTCACTTCCGACCAAAATATCCGCCTGTAGCCATGATTTGATCGAAGCATTACAAGACTATGCGGCAGTTCGTACCCGAAATTGAATCGTGTAGACTACCCGATTGAACAGGCCGATTCGACGTGTGGAGTTCGGTAGTCGATCATTGTGCCTCCAGAGCAATTCTGAGTCCGTTTGAAGCCGCCCGGCTGTACCCGTACTTTGTCCTCATAGTGGATAGCTCCTCATCATTAGCAGCGCAGTCGTCCTCGTATGTGCGTTTAATCCCCGTGTTATCAAAGCCTGGTTTCTTCGGGTCGGAGATGACGATTGCCGCCTTGGCCTGATCAACAGCTCAATGTAACCTTACAAAGGTAAAGCTTCTCATTGGCTCAATTAATTGGCCTCTTGGTGGAAGAAGCAGACAGTGGGGCTTTTTGGCTACAGAAAATCAAGGTACCTTAGAGGAAAGCCTCATTGGAAATTCAAAGTGCTGGGGCTTGAGGCTGGGTTAGGACAAGCGGAAGATGATAATGATAGACACAGTTTCAATTGACATGTCGAGGTCTATTTGAGATGAAATGAAGAAGACACTGCATTTACTGAATACCATCTAAAGAGGGGATTATTGAACAAGGGGTATCACCCAGAGTAGCGGCCACTGAAACAGCCTGTGTTAAGGCTTGAATTACGAGATGGTCCCTCTAGACTCGGACAATCTGACTGCGCTAGTGCAGTAGCTATGTCAGCGGTAAGCGCAACGAGAAAACTGTACGAAGTACAGAGTAGATGGAATGATAACAGGCAGGCAAAGGGCCATTCTCATGTTGGTGGAAGAAATGGATGACGAGGGATGATGGATGACTAAGGCGTAACCTAATTTGCTAGTGTCCTACGGCAGATCTGCATTGGGTAGCCAGAGGATCATTAATTCATTCATTCTGCAGGAATACGGTTCATGACAGATCTCAACGATTGATATCAATTGCAATTCTAACCACCATAATATGTAATAATGAATCCATCTAGGAGGAACTCCGACTGTACAGTAGTACTAAGAGTTCGGTGTGTCGGAAGAGGAAGCGTCGCCGGAAAAGGCTTAGTAAGATCTCTAGGAACAATTTCCTAGATCGGCGATGGCTGTAGTTAGAGTTGGACCCTGGGCAGAGAAGGATGTGACCAGTTTATTCGACTGCTGCTTCTTTTAGTGTCATTCTTATTTCCAACTTAGATCCTATCTCTCGGTGTCTCGGTAACTGATCTCTGACTTCATCAATTTTGCTCCTTTTTCCCCAGTGTGTAAACCTCTTGCAAATCCCAATTCTCTACGTCCAAAGCTGGCTTTCTGCAAGGTCCAACTGCAGACCGACATCGGATAGCCTCGTGTTTTACTTTTCTTCTTCCCCAGGTCCACAGCGGATCTTTTTTGCTGTCTTTCGGGATGCATACCCCGTTGTGAACAGTTTTTGTTACGTTCGAAATCCATGATTCGTTCTGCTTGGTCGGAGTGGGATCTCTGCTGGCCCACTGCAACCACGCGATCATCGCCGGTGGCGGGCAGGGCTCAATTGAGCATTATGGAATGGAACATGGAAATATGCGGCTCCACTCCTGTCGAACGGTCTGAGTTAGACGAAGAGTCAGAATCTCAGTCTGGCCAACAGGGGCAAGATGAAAAAAATATAACATCCGAGGCGAGATGAGATCTACGTCGTGTTCTTTGCCTCTTTATCTTCCTGGCTCCTCCGTTCTTTTCCTGGTCGAAACTTCCTCTCAACAGGACTGTTTCTATACAATTGCTCTTTCAACTTGAATCATTGGAGCATCCTAGCATTTCCATTCTTTGCTATCATACCCCAGGATTTATATTTTGTTGTCTCGGTTGAGGAAGACGTTGCTAGACCAGGGAAAATCGGCAATCATGACTCAGATCGTCGATGTTCCTCCTGTATCCGACCCGGAGAATCCACAAGAGAAGAGCATTGCTAGCCGTGATGCGTCTTTGGCGGAGGATGAGAAGAAGTATGACGCCAGACCTGCCTACAAGCAGGATGCTTTTGGTGACGAGTCGAATGCGGAGGTCAAATATAAGGTCATGAAGTGGTGGTACGTATTTGATATTCGGTCCCGCTATTGTTAGGATAACCACCATCTGACGTTATCTCCCTTTATAGGCAATGTGGTCTGCTGATGGTTGCCGAAACTGTCTCTCTGGGTGTTCTGTCGCTGCCTGCTGCTGTCGCTGGCCTGGGCCTGGTTCCGTATGTTGACCACTTTTGAGCCTGGATTCGATTGGTTGCTAATATGTGCCTAGTTCTGTCATTCTCCTTGTTGCGCTTGGTCTGCTATCCACCTACACCGGCTACACGATTGGGTAAGTTTGTCGTCATGGACTAAATAGCTGGACTGTTACTGACCCGCATAGCCAATTCAAATGGCAGTATCCGTTCGTCCACTCCATGGGAGACGCCTGCGAGGTCATCATGGGCAGCTGGGGCCGTGAGATTGTTGGAGCAGCCCAGGTGCTATTCCTGGTCTTCATCATGGCTAGTCATCTGCTCACTTTTGTCATTGCGATGAACACAATCACGGGTCACGGTACCTGCTCAATTGTGTTTGGTGTTGTGGGCATGATTCTTTCTTTCATCCTATCACTACCGCGGACACTGGCAAAGATGTCCTGGCTCTCTCTCGTTTGTAAGATGACCTCCTGTCTGTTGTTGGATCTCGTAGCTAAGTTGCAACCTAGCTTTTACCAGCATCATTTCTGCGGTGATTATCTGCATGGTCGGCATCGGTATAAAGCATCCTGGTGAAAATGTGATGGCAATTGTCGACACGGACTTGGTTCATGGGTTCTCTGCGGTCACTAACATCGTCTTTGCTTTCTGTGAGTTCCGATTCCGGACCTTAGATTTCAAAATTCGGCCCCTAACAGACTCGCAGCCGGACACGCCGCCTACTTCGGGCTCATGTCCGAACTGAAAGATCCTCGCGACTTTCCCAAGGCCCTGATGCTGCTGCAGAGCGTCGATATCTGCCTTTACATCCTCGCTGCCATCGTCATCTACATCTACGGCGGTGCCACGGTCTCGTCCCCCGCCCTCGGAAGTGCTTCTCCAATGGTCTCCAAGGTCGCTTACGGCATCGCCTTGCCAACTGTACGTTCACACTGGCATTTGAAAACATGACTCCAGTACTAATGCTGCTCAGATTATCATCGCTGGCGTCATTAACGGCCACATTGCTTTTAAATATGTCTACATCCGCATCTTCGCTGGGAAAGGAGACCGCATCCATAAGCGTGACTGGGTCGCCGTCAGCTCCTGGGTCGCGATCGCGCTCTCCCTCTGGATCATCGCCTGGATCATCGCCGAAGCCATTCCCGTGTTCAGCAACCTATTGAGCTTGATCGTAAGGCTCATCACCTTCTTTTTCTTCACCTCCATTACTGACTTATTCAGGTTGCCCTCTTCGCCTCCTGGTTCACCTACGGGCTCAGTGGTATTTTCTGGCTCCACCTTAACTGGGGCAAGTACACGGCTTCCCCGCGCAAGATATTCCTGACAGTCGTGAATCTCTTCTGCCTGGTCTTTGGCGCTGGGCTCTGTGGTCTGGGCTTGTACGTCTCTGGAAAGGCGATCCATGATAACCCCAGCAGCGCGAGCTTCTCATGCGCCAATACTGCTTAATCTTTCATTTACGGCGATTATTGCATTGCATTGCATGGCGTTCTGGGTCTTTGGTTGTTTGTATATATGAGCCGTGCGATTGGTTACTGGGCAGTGGCATCGGCTGCCCTGTATATATGGATTCTTTGTACGTCTATAGACATGAGATACCTCTTTGTTTATGTTATCTTCGTTTGTTTTCCATTCATCGTAGTAAGTTGAGGATAACTGTGCAGAGTACATTTGCTGCCGCCCGTATGTATGCGGAGAATAGAAGGATTAAAGACAATGTAATGTAACATTCGATACCAACATGCTTGCAGCGCTCAAGTAATAATGCTATGCTAGATATGACCCCATTGCCATTCGCCAGACTGGATATCCCGTAAACACCTAACCTATTAACACCACTGGTACCTGGAATAACTGAAACAACAATGGAAGAAGCGACGACCAGATCAAAAGAAGGATAGGATAGGATAGGTCACCTCACCCACGGCTCTCCCTTCTCATCCGCCTCCGCCTCCGGCGGCAGGAATCGATCGCCTCGGGCGTCAGGATATCCGCGGGCGGCTGAAACTCGCGCACCTCCATCTGGGGGATGGGGTGGCCGAAAGCCAGGCGGACCCGGCCCTTGCGGTGCGGCGAGAGCGCGACATCGCGCAGATGCGGCTTTGCGTAGAATGAGGTGAAGGGTTTCTCGGGAGGGGGAGGGGTTGCTGGTTTCGCGACAGCAGGAGCGGACGCGGGAGCGTGCGGCGCGGCGGAGGACTTGGTGGTGCCGGAGGATTTGCGGCGTCGTGGGGGCTCTGTCGATGGTTTGGGTCGTTTGCCGGCCGTCGCGGAGCGGGCTTCCTGCTGGAGTTGGTGCGCTGCCCAGGCGTCCACGTCGCTTGGGTCCGGGGGTTCGCCGTCGCTTTCAACGTCGGAGATGGCGGCGCCGTCGGGGGTAGTATCTGGGGAGCGATCGCTGAGTTTGCGCTTCTGGGAGGTGGTGCGGTCTCTGCTCGTGGGGGCGGTGGATGGCGATATCTCGGCACGGAGCGAGGGCTTGTCCTTGTCGAGCTTCCGGCGTTTCTCTTCTTCTTTCCAGATCTGGAACTTCTTGATCAGGCTTGCGATCTCTTTCATGAAATAGTCGCGTTTGGGTTCGTAGAGCTTTTTCTCGTGCTCGTGCACCCCAGTAATACCCATCACACGGAGCCAGTCGTGACCTTTCAGCTCGTCTAATAGACGCTCCAGCTGCATCTTCTCATGCTGGGCGCGTTCACGCTCGATATTTCGGAGCTGTTTCTCCTGCCGCTCCATTCTCCGGTGGGCACGGAAATAGTATCCTTCATTGAGAGGGTCTTCCTCTTTGACATCTCCGGGCGCAGCGTCTGAACTCGGCTCCGGCTCCGGCAGAGATATCTTTTCACAGTCATGGAGCTGCAACAGAGGGTTTCCAAATGGGGACTCGGAGTCGGGAGTAGAGGATTGTATGGTGGTAAGAGGCTCGGTCAGGTCGTCAATCAACTTAATCGTGGTGTTCTCGGTCAGTAGTTCCGCGGTCTTCGGAGGGTCCAAACTGAGAATTTGTTCATAGTTCCAGAAATATGATGCTAGTTCGCTCCGCAGCCGCGAATTGCTGTCCTTGGAACGAAGCGACCGGCGCTGTTCCGGTTCAGCTGGACTGGGATGGGCGGGTTCCTGCTTAGGCTGCGATTGCGCTTCCGTCTGAGGATTGGCCGAGCTGGGTTTCCGCCGACTGCTCGTCGGTCCAGGGGGCTTCTGCACATCCGCGTCTGATGCGACAGAATGCTGCAGGCGAGAACAGCGTGTAGAACGGGTGGTAGAGGTCGGAGTGGACGTAATGGGTGTTTTGCGAGGCTTCGGGTTGGTCTTGGTAGGGGCAGGAGAGATGATATCTAAGGGATCTGGCGATTCGCGACCACCGCCACGCATATACAGCACGGCGGAAGCCGACAACGGAGTGCGAGGGTGATCATGGGATTGTCCCGTAGTGTGCGGGGTGCCGGGAAGCGGAGCACGAGCGGGGTTGGACGACGAAGAGGACGAAGAGGAGGATGCGCTGTCGCTGGCAGTGGCGAGAGGAGGTGGCCGGCGCGTAGATGAGCGTGGCGGCGGCGGAGGGACAGGAGAGTGAGCAGCCTGTCGCAGGATCTGAGGAGTTTTGGATGACGGAGGGACGCGATGACTGGAGTTTCCGATAGTAGTGTCAAGTAAGTCGGGAGAGCTCTTGCGACGACGAGACGAAGGTGGCTGACGACGTTGCTGTTGCTGTTGCTGCTGAAGCCGAGGCCTCTTTGCAGGGGGAGGAGAAGACGGCAAGGTGTCGTCGTGGCTGTCCTGATGCTCGTCATCATGACCAGAGGCATTGTCATCCCGTCGCACTGAGAAGCGCAGGGACGACCTCGATCGGACGGCCATGATGATCTGATTGCAGCAGCGGTAGAGGACTCGTCATTCGTTGAGATGGACTCGTCGAGCAATAACGTGATGATGCTGATCGTGGACGAGATTGGATATGGGATGAAACTGACGAGAGTATATATAGGGACATGCTGTAAGAACTTATGTGATTGTGTCTCAGTTCATCTTGCGTTGCTCAATTGATTGACTCTATTGCCATTGCATCTGGAGATGAAAGGTGAATCGAACCTATTCTTCTGCTTCGTCGCCCTATACTCGTCGTCTTCGCGTTCTTTTTTTTTTTCGCGGTCGCCATTAATTACAGGGATGTGGTATGGCTCAATACAGTATTTGTGGAAGAGGAGCTCACGGGTGATGGGAAAAGATGTATTATCGTGTCAGTATAATACAGGATTGTCCTCATCCTCAATCACTATTGTCATCCCCAGTGACTATGTGTTAGAGAACAATAAAGCATTGTATATTAGAATAAGGATCTTTAGATGAGTGAGAATTATTAGATTCCATTGTCAGTATGTGATCCTCCACAAAGAGAATTGTAGTTGATAGCAATAAAGACACTTCCCAACGCGGTCATCGAAATGCGGGGATATGCACAAAAAAGTAACACAATTAGTAGTCCTGGCCATGTTGAGCTTGGATGGAGACAACACACGCTAGAAACTAACCAAACCCTACTGGCAACCTCGCACGTCGATGAAAGGCATATGATAGAGACTTCGAGGTCAGTTTATATCAGATGATCATCCAACACAGCAACACACGGACTCTTCTTGTGTGCTGCGGTTGCAAGTTACAATATCCCCCACCCCCACACAACGAGGGGAAGATGAGCGATTCATTCTCATCCTTGTAGACTCTAGAGACTGATGCCTCAATCTCGAAGATGACTCCGTAGGAGTTTATTCGGAGTACTTGCCGACCGGAGAGATCGTTGTACTCTAGTACAAGAGGTATTCGTCTACCGGGTACAAAGTCCTCCTCCTGGTGCTACTCTGTTCACGGTTGGAGATATTTCCCCACCTTCACAGGCTACAAATGATGACCCCGGATCGAGGAGTACGTGGGGGTCACGGCCTCATTCGTAGCAGTTATCTAATGTTCTTTCGATTCCATACTACATTGAAAGGATGATCCAAAGATGTATTATTGCCTAGCAAATAGTAGTATTGCACCTTCTCCAAGTCCCGTGGGTTACATAGAATCGAGCTGCCGCATCAGTTTCGACGCATGCTCCAATGTCATCAGATGCAACTCCACCACCAATAATATCATTAAGAGTTACAATCCCTCTCTGATCGTCTCCAAAATCTCGCCCACGTATTCTGGATTCCGACCCCTAACAGGCCTCATTCTGTGGGGTTCAGACGTGGGGGTTTCCAGTGTCCACCCATTTCCACTTGCCGAGCTGTCTGTAGACGGCCTTTGAACTTAATGCGATCAATCTTCATCATCGCATCAATCTGGGTCGGCACTGGGACCACATTCCCATTCCTTAATCATGGCAGGCGTCCCACCGTCTCTGTCCTCTTTAACTAACCCTTTCCTCCCTTCTTCTGTTGTTTTAAATCCCTATCAATCCTCCAAATTGAGGTCTTCTCCCTGGTAACACTGTTCCAAGCAGGACTACCCTTGAGACTATTTGCTCACGACCACCGCAGAACACCACTCGTATAAAACACCAGACGAAATGACCACAAACGGAACAACAACAAGGCCGCGCCCTCTCGTGCCCGGCATCTACGTGCCAACGGTCGCCTTCTTCAAGGACGACGAGGAGGTCGATCTCCCCACCGTCGAGAAGCACGCCGCCTACCTCGCTAACGCCGGTGTCACCGGCCTCGTCGTCCAAGGCAGCAACGGCGAAGCCGTCCATCTCGACCGCGAGGAACGCAAACTCATTACAGCAGCCACCCGCCGCGCCCTCGATGCCGCCGGAGTCACATCCATGCCGCTCATCGTCGGCTGCGGTGCATCCTCCACGCGCGAAACCATCCAGTTCTGCAAGGACGCCGCCGACGCCGGAGGAGACTACGTCCTTGTCCTGCCCCCTTGCTACTACAAGTCCCTCGTGAGCAACGCCGCCCTCCTCGACTACTTCCGCGACGTCGCCTCCGCCTCCCCGATCCCCCTCCTCATCTACAACTTCCCCGGCGCCTCCTCCGGCCTCGACCTCACCTCAGACGACATCCTAACCCTCGCCAAACACCCCAACATCGTCGGCGTCAAGCTCACCTGCGGCAACACGGGCAAACTCGCCCGCATCGCCGCCCAGGCCAAACCAGGCTTCCTGACCTTCGGCGGCTCCGCCGACTTCACTCTCCAGACCCTCATCGCCGGCGGGGCGGGTATCATCGGCGGCGTGGCGAATCTGATTCCGCGCTCGTGCGTGCGCCTCATGGAGCTCTACCGGAGCGGGAAGATAGCGGAGGCGCAGACGCTGCAGGCGGTCGTCGCGCGCGCGGACTGGCTGGCTATCAAGGGTGGGTTTGTCGCGGTCAAGAGCGCCCTGCAGTCGTATCGCGGATACGGCGCGCTGCCGCGGCGGCCGTGTGTGGCGCCTTCGGCGGAGGAGGCGTCTGCATTGAAGAATGCTTTCCAGGAAGGGATGGAGATGGAGCGGAGTTTCGAGGTTGCGTAATTATGCAGGAGTTTATGATGTGTAGCAATTTTTACTATTCTGTGTGTTTTACTATTCTGTGTTGTGAATGAAAACATGGTCGATGGCCGCATTCAGCATAGCATGGTTTGAGTTTTGCCATGCCGAACTATCTACTCCGTAACCAACGTCAATTCCACGCTCAGAGTCTTGTCTCTGAGGACTTTCTAACCGGGATCTAATTGCATCCTTCACAAGATATCCTATTTCGATATGGGGATGATTGATCCCGAACGATCGGACTGACCAATCCCACTTCTCCACCCTCAGTCATTTGCGCGGTTTTCGCGTTTTTTAGCCTTCGGATGTTTGCCTCCCGGAGGACTATAATATACATACAGTCTTCCGCAACCCATATAACTACACATCAATCTGTCCTTCCAGCTGTCTTAGAAAAGACCAAATATACTAGATTAAACCCATCATGCTCCGCGTGTCATCACCGCTCACTTCCCGCCTGAGTACCCGCCAGCCATTTTTCTCAAGTAGATCCTTAACCCAGTTTCACCAACTCTACTCTTCCCGACCTCAACCCCAGCATCAGCCTACAAAATGTTGCTCGAAGAACGAGAAGGAGAGGGAGAAGGAGAATGAGACTCAAAGATCTGTCCTCACATTATCCTTCTGGTCATCTAAAAGAGGCTGGAAGCGCGCAGCTGTCAACACCTTGCGCTGTCTGGCGGGGTGCACACTAGGTGATTTCTCGGCGCTGTGGGTGCTCCAAAGTTTCTATGGGCATTGGGGGATGGGTGCTATTATGGGTGTTTCCAGTATATTCATCCCTACTCGTGGACCTCAGGCTCGGCCAGATGACTGATGTTGTGGCAGTGGCGAGTGGAATCACCACGTCAATTCTCCTGGAGACTATCCTCCTCCGACTGGGAGTGGACAAACTCCCCTGGGGACCGGCATTTCGAACTGCGACGGGTATGAGCCTCGTCTCCATGCTGGCTATGGAGACGGTGCAGAACCTGGTGGATTTCCACCTCACCGGAGGTGTGGTGCTGTTGGATGATCCGCGGTTTTGGGCGGCTGCGCTGGTATCGATGGGTGCTGGGTTTTTGGCCCCGATGCCGTATAATTATTGGCGGTTGGTCAGGCATGGGAAGAGTTGTCATTGATTTTTCCGAGAATGAAGTGGTTGCTTGTATGTAAGATAGAGTAAATTGTATTAGTATCGGGCTGAATATACTCAACTTCCAGCTATGTCGGATGACGCTTCTGCGAAAGCCACTCTAATCTGGCCAGAAGCAGACTTGAGCTTGAAGCACGTGAAATTTGTCCAAAAGATTGCATTCCGAGAGGAGGACTTGGCTAGGGTGCTGGAACCGTGGTATCTGCTTACCAACGGGAAGGCCCGTCGTTCCATCTTTGACAAGGGCCCACGGCATGACGTCGGTTGTGCAAATATGTGCTTGTAGTTCGCATTCGATCACAGAAGTCTGTCTGATGCGGAAAATTGGATCCTTCCTAGAGGTTAGCGACAGTATAGGCAAGTTTGTGCGGAAATTGCAACAAAGCAATTTGGTCCTTGAAGTAGCGGTTGCTTCCGTGTCTGCAACAATCAAACCTAAGGAGCCATACGAGCCTTTGCCAGAAGAGATCGCGTGAAGTGTGTCGAGATGATTCCAAAATCTTGACGAGTCAAGTCCAATAGACCACGGAATGATATCTTGGATTTTGTTCATCTAAGCGATGTCACTGTGACAGCTTAGCAGGTGCAAACTCCGAAGCCTTTTTGGTCGCATTGTTATCGGTAGCTAGTTCCCTCCACCTTGTGATCTTGACCACTTGATGATCCAGTTTATGCAGGGAGATGGCCGTTTATCTGCAGATACGAGTCGTGGCAACTGGCAAGGTATCATCACAGGAACGAAGCCGAGAAACCTGCACTGCACTGACCATATCGCGTGGTATCTGCCGATCAGAACAGACCCTGAAGATTTGCGAAACCTTCAATAATGAAGGACCATCCAGGTTGCAGCGCGGGAACAAAGGCGGATGTAACCCTCCGAACCAGCGATGAAACCAAAGCATTCTTGGATCGCGGGTAGAGTCCCAAACAATTCGAGGCGCAGTTGTTGACCTTTTTGCCGATACCCATGATCATTGTCACAAGAACAAATGAGAGAAAGCGAGTGGGCCGTGATTGGCGTCGACTCCCCAGGTTTTGAAGCAGAGACTAACCATCGACAGAAAACCTGTACCTTCTGGCCAAATTAGCGTTGATGATGCCTTCCAGAGATTGGCGGATGGACGGACCTTGAGCTGTAGCTTCCCATTCTGATTGCATTCTGATTGCATGATCGACGCGCGTTGGCAGAACGAAAGTTGCGAAGATGGACTGGAATGCAGGAGATTATTGGTGTCGATCAGCGCGCTCGAAGGATTCACCCTGCAAGGCTATAATTTAAATACAGTCCTCCTCCTCTGGTTTCAGATGTCTTTTTCACTCAAAGCCCCTTTCCTACACATATCCCTCAAACGAGACCTCTTCAATGCCTGTGTTGTTGGATTGGTTATTGTGATCATGCTCATCTCTAGCATCTGCGCCGTAGTCCTTACGGTCGCCTCGTCGGTCGCCGCTGTCGCCGTCAATCCTCTGCCGGCTCCTCGCACTATCACTTGGGCGTCATCGGGGCCCAAACGCATTGCTGGCCAACTCACTCTGCGCACAGCCCGTGGTTCCAACAGCCAGGTCATCTCGCAAGGATGGGATCGCGCCTGGAAGACGATTGTTTCGCTTCAATGGGTTCCCGCTGCGACTGAAGCGCCCATCTCCTCCTTCCAGCCTTTCCCAACAGCTACACCTTCCGCCTCCACGAAGAGCAAACGTGCCTCGTCCCCGCTACAGTTCGTCAATGTGAAGGTTGACGATCTCAAAGCCGATCTCCAGCACGGTGTGGACGAATCTTACACCCTCGATGTGAAGGAAGGCTCCGACACCATTCAAATCACCGCCAAGACCGTTTGGGGTGTTCTGCATGCATTTAGCACCCTTCAACAGATCGTCATCTCGGATGGAAGGGGTGGACTACTCATCGAGCAGCCCGTCAGTATCCAGGATGCGCCTCTCTATCCTTATCGCGGCATCATGATCGATACTGGTCGCAACTTCATCTCCGTGAAGAAGATCCTGGAGCAGTTGGACGCCATGTCGTTATCCAAGCTCAATGTCCTGCACTGGCACTTGGATGACACGCAGTCGTGGCCTGTACAGATCAACGCACATCCGGAGATGGTTAAAGATGCATACTCGGCGCGGGAGACTTACTCGCACGCCGACATCCGCCGAATCATTGCCTATGCCCGTGCCCGAGGTATACGTGTCATCCCGGAAATCGATATGCCTAGCCATTCGTCGTCTGGCTGGAAGCAGGCAGATCCGAAAATGGTGACTTGCGCCGATTCCTGGTGGTCCAACGACGTCTGGCAATATCACACTGCCGTTCAACCCAACCCGGGCCAGTTGGACATCATTTATGACAAGACGTACGATATCGTTCGGGATGTTTACAATGAGCTATCGGATGTTTTTACCGACGACTGGTTCCACGTCGGAGCTGACGAGATTCAACCCAATTGCTTCAATTTCAGTAGCTATGTCCAAGCATGGTTCGCAGAAGATCCCTCGCGCACCTACAACGATCTGTCTCAGTACTGGGTGGATCATGCAGTTCCAATCTTCCGCAAGGTCAGCGAGAAGCGCCGTCTGATCATGTGGGAGGATATTGTCCTCTCTCCGGAGCACGCTCACGACGTGCCCAAGGACATTGTCATGCAGACCTGGAACAATGGGCTGCAATACATTCAGAACCTGACGGCCCGGGGCTACGATGTCATAGTATCGTCGGCAGACTTTTTCTATCTTGACTGCGGCTCTGGCGGATACGTCACCAATGACCCCAGGTACGACGTCATGAGCAATCCGGATCCCAACACCCCGAACTTCAACTATGGCGGCATTGGAGGCTCGTGGTGCGCTCCTTACAAGACATGGCAGCGGATCTACGACTACGACTTCACGCAAAATCTGACCGATGCTCAAGCCAAGCACGTCATCGGTGCGACCGCGCCTCTCTGGAGCGAGCAGGTGGATGATGTGACTGTGTCGAGCAAGTTCTGGCCCCGCGCCGCAGCCCTGGCGGAATTGGTCTGGTCTGGCAATCGCGATGCAAATGGGAAGAAGAGGACTACACTCATGACGCAGCGTATCCTCAACTTCCGAGAGTACTTGCTGGCGAACGGTGTTCAGGCCGGCAACCTTGTGCCGAAGTACTGTCTTCAGCACCCCCACGCGTGCGATTTATATTATGACCAGAGTGCCGTCGTGTAGTCCCTGTCAATTCATGTTTTTTACTAGCGATAGCTGCTGTTAACCCATGTACATACTAACAGCCGCGCTGTCGACTGCCCTAGTCCTGCTTGATCAGGATATTGAGCATAATTGGATTAAGCCTACCTGAATGATTTCCTGTGCCGATGAATAAAGCCTCCACGGATACCTCTTGTATTAGTAGATGCCTTATATGTTGGCGTTCTTGCGCATACGCCAGAGAAGTTATGGACTTGATCACGTCCTAGGAACATGTCCATAGGTTTTGAGCAGTCTAAACCCTACTGACACCCCCAATGTGTTCCAGTATAGTAGTGCAATTTCTTTCCCCTTAGGTAGTTCGTGCAATTCGACCATGTATGGCGTTTTGATCGGTCAATCAGTCCATCTCACGCAACGCAAACACAACCTGCTCAAACACATACATCAGCAATCAGGTTTCCATCCTGAGGAATCGACCAAAACAAGATGAATGTACCACAATACCAGCATATGCCTTTGTTCTCCTGCTTGACTTAAGCCTGGATAGGCTATCAGTTTGATAAGCGGCGTCAACTGGTTTCTGTGAGTTGGAAGGACGAATCAAGTTAAATCGTAGATCGTAAGATGCGAGGCATGGCTCATGGATCTTCTAGGCTATCCAAGAAGGTGGGTGCCGGTACTATGCTGTCTACTCTTCAAATCATTGTTATCATGCTCAGAACCTGCTTAGAGAATGGTATGGCAGCTTTACTAGGGGCTCGCTTAGGGTCTGTTTATCAAGCTCTTCTTTTTGGTTAGAATGATCAATTAAACATGGCTCTCCTCTCTGTAGTATATCTTGTTGATGATGGTATAGGAACCATTATCTGCAATAGCGAACCACAACTGGATTTTCTCCTTTTGTTTTAATGATCACCGACGCCTCTGGACAGCAGTCGCAGTACTCTCTCTAATTCCTACCTAGGTAGGTATAGACAGCCTCCTCCCCAAGACGATTGGCTCATATTATTTTGGCCCTACTTTGGTGGGTTCCAGGTTGGTCAACAGGGGACTGAGATTGGGGTGCTCATTGGTGGTTAGCTTGCTGCAGTGTCTGCTCCTTGCATGACAAGGTTCTCGGTTCCTCACTTGAATCCATGGTTTGGTTGGTGATTGAGTTTGTCATGGTTTGGTATTAATATTAATATTAATTAGACGTGGTGCGCAGGACAGTAACAGGAAGTATTACTTGCTAGTTGCCGTGCCTTGGCCAGTCCGTTGACCGTCACTCGAACCATTCATACCGCGGCCCTGAGGCTCTCGCTCATCGCAACAGACGGTCTGGTCTGCTCTGTCTTTCCGGAGTCTCCGATGGATGGTGGTTCGTCTGCATGGGTTGTATGAGCGAGTGTGGATCACCCACCAATGGAGACGAATGCTCCGTCCGGGGTCGTCGTAGGGCTGACAGGCTTACTCCTTGGTAGCAAACGCCAGTAACCGGATTATCTGACATGATGATACGACATTTATCCATCGCATACGAGTGTATGTACATGTGGTGAGGGGAATCATATTCCCCGGCCAGGTCGACTTTTTTCTCCTGGGTCAGAGGGACCACTGGCTATGGACTATCTACTCGGTTCAAGAATTTTGGTCATGATTGGAATCTCGAGTTCGAGGCAACTGTTACACTGCATGAGCCACATCCTGGCAAAACCACAGAAAGAGTCACGAGGGGGTCTGTTGGAATATCGAATAGAAACGAAGGTATTGAGTACCTGAGGACAACTACCTCTACCCCACCGTGGAATTTATCTCCATAGTTCCCAGGAGGTGTCAAATCCACGAGGTTGCCGCGGTATCAATAAGCCCTATGCACTCACGGACGGGATGAGATGGCATCCTCTCCTACAGACACGGACCATGTGCTGTCTCGTTTCATCGTGGCCACGCTGACACCACTCATTGATCAGTGCCCCCGAACAAGTGTCACTGACCGATTCTTACCATGGAGATGGATAAATCTCTGGGGTTAAAGAACGGTGAAAAGTGTGCTCTTACCTCTTGGTATTGGACGTTCAAACTTTGATTTTGATGCAACGCACGACTGACATGCGTCTGGCT